ATCCCAGCTCCTTGTCCACATATCCCAGCTCCTTGTCCTCATATCCCAGCTCCTTGACCTCATATTCCAGCTCCTTGTCCTCATATTCCAGCTCCTTGTCCTCATATTCCAGCTCCTTGTCCTCATATTCCAGCTCCTTGTCCTCATATCCCAGCTCCTTGTCCTCATATCCCAGCTCCTAGTCCTCATATCCCAGCTCCTTGTCCACATATCCCAGCTCCTTGTCCTCATATCCCAGCTCCTAGTCCTCATATCCCAGCTCCTTGTCCACATATCCCAGCTCCTTGTCCTCATATCCCAGCTCCTAGTCCTCATATCCCAGCTCCTTGTCCACATATCCCAGCTCCTTGACCTCATATTCCAGCTCCTTGTCCTCATATTCCAGCTCCTTGTCCTCATATCCCAGCTCCTTGTACTCATATCCCAGCTCCTAGTCCTCATATCCCAGCTCCTAGTCCTCATATCCCAGCTCCTAGTCCACATATCCCAGCTCCTTGTCCACATATAAGTCCCAAGTGTGCTACACAGCGGCCCAAGCTAATCATTCTCACCCATTACGCATTTCATCCCAATTTTCAACTCGAAACGTCGACCGAGTCCTTCTTCGTCTGATTAGAACAATCAGATTGAATATTCTGATATTTAATTATATATATTCTGATATTCAGAATATACTGATATTCTGATATTCAGAATATACTCTACCTAAAAAATCAAACCAAATCGTACAAGCTTGTCTTATTTTTTTGTCCTCTCGCAAACGAATAGTGAAAAGCCAATGTTTCGAACGTCCCTTTCCCCCCTTCCCTTTGGTCGAAAATACCATAACTACATCTTCAAAAAATGTAAAGTTAGCCCTTCTATCCTTTCCTATCCAATGCACAAAAAAAACTGCCCTATCCACCCCCCTATATTCTCCCACACCAAACCCTCCCCCTCCCCCCTTTTCCCTATCCTTGTTCATGTAAGGATTTAAATAAAATTGAGCGTTGGGCTTCCAGTCCACTAAGCTATCTTCCCCACAAAATAAAATGAAATAAAAGTGAGTAAATCAATATATGAAAATAAGGAATGAAAGGGCAGTGTCCATCCCGTCCTCCCTACCTCTCCCTTTTACCCCTCCCCCCAGTCCCCCCAACCCTTTCTCCAATGCCTGAAGAAAGGGCAGTGTGTTTCAGGGTTTGGGTTCGAATCACGGCTTCAAAGGGTATCCGAACGAACCTCTCTCTCTCTCTCTCTCTCTCTCTCTCTCTCTCTCTCTCTCTCTCTGTTTTAGGGCATGTGGGGGGGGGGGAAATTTGCGGGGGTTCTGTTCGGCGGGTGTTCCATTTTTCGAGCGTTCGAAAGGGTTCCGCGGGAATCGAAATGCTGTTTCATTTAGCTCACTCGTCTGATAATCGTTAGTCTACTGAATGTTCATCGGTGTTTTAAGCGTTTAAAACCCCCTTATAAGCTCATTTCCGTTTATATTTAATCAGCGCATAACGTTCACTTTCCCGTTAGTGTTGAACAGAGGCCATTCACACACGTTCAGTTCTTGGCGTTCAGTTTCAGCAGTGTCACAAATCAATGCTATAGCGTTCGTTTTACATTTGGTTAATTTACCCCATTATATAAAGTTCCATTTAACGCGATTTCAGATTGTGTTGACGTTCACTGGCGTTTAGCCGTAAGTTCTCATGGGTTCACCGATCATTTTGAACGTTCATTTTGAACGTTGATTTGGCATTCTTCCGTTGCTGCGTTCACTAGTCTGTTCATCTTCCAGACAATCGTTGTTTTTCCTCGTTCATTTGTTCATTTCCACTTGCTTTCATCCGTTTTGCGTGGCTATCTTGAGATGATTTCGGGGCTTAGCGTCCCTGCGGCCCGGTCCTCGACCAGGCCTCCTTTTTTATTACACACCCCACAGGAAGCAGCCCGTAGCAGCTGACTAACTCCCAGGTACCAATTTACTGCTAGGGTGAACAGGGGGCATCAAGGGTGAGAGAAACTCATTTGTTTCCGCCTCCACCGGGGATCGAACCCGGAACCTCAGGACTACGAATCCCGAGCGCTGTCTACTCAGCCGTCAGGCCCCTGCTGAGTGGACTGCTGTTCACTTTGTCAGCAGATTTTCCCAAAAGGGAAAATCTCTTAGAATGAGGTCAAGGGTTTCCTGTCCTTTCACTGCTCGCTGCCATAGCCCCCATGTTGCTCTCACAGCCCCCATGTTGCTCTCACAGCCCCCATGTTGCTCTCACAGCCCCCATGTTGCTCTCACAGCTCCCATGTTGCTCTCACAGCCCCCATGTTGCTCTCACAGCCCCCATGTTGCTCTCACAGCCACCATGTTGCTCTCACAGCCCCCATGTTGCTCTCACAGCCCCCATGTTGCTCTCACAGTTCCCATGTTGCTCTCACAGCTCCCATGTTGCTCCCACAGCCCCCATGTTGCTCTCACAGCCCCATGTTGCTCTCACAGTCCCCTTGTTGCTCTCACAGCTCCCATGTTGCTCTCACAGCTCCCATGTTGCTCTCACAGCCCCCATGTTGCTCTCACAGCCCCCATGTCGCCCTCACAGCCCCCATGTTGCTCTCACAGCCCCCCATGTTGCTCTCACAGCCCCCCATGTTGCTCTCACAGCCCCCATATTGCTCTCACAGCCCCCATGTGTCTCTCACAGCTCCCATGTTGCTCTCACAGCTCCCATGTTGCTCTCACAGCTCCCATGTTGCTCTCACAGCCTCCCATGTTGCTCTCACAGCCCCCCATGTTGCTCTCACAGCTCCCATGTTGCTCTCACAGCCCCCATGTTGCTCCCACAGCCCCCATGTTGCTCTCACAGACCCCATATTGCTCTCACAGCCCCCCATGTTGCTCTCACAGCCCCCATGTTGCTCTCACAGCCCCCATGTTGCTCTCACAGCTCCCATGTTGCTCTCACAGCTCCCATGTTGCTCTCACAGCCCCCATGTTGCTCTCACAGCCCCCATGTTGCTCTCACAGTTCCCATGTTGCTCTCACAGCTCCCATGTTGCTCCCACAGCCCCCATGTTGCTCTCACAGCTCCCATGTTGCTCTCACAGCTCCCATGTTGCTCTCACAGCCCCCCATGTTGCTCTCACAGCTCCCATGTTGCTCTCACAGCCCCCATGTTGCTCTCACAGCCCCCATGTTGCTCTCACAGCTCCCATGTTGCTCTCACAGCCCCCATGTTGCTCTCACAGCCCCCCATGTTGCTCTCACAGCTCCCATGTTGCTCTCACAGCCCCCATGTTGCTCTCACAGCCCCCATGTTGCTCTCACAGCTCCCATGTTGCTCTCACAGCCCCCATGTTGCTCTCACAGCTCCCATGTTGCTCTCACAGCCCCCATGTTGCTCTCACAGCTCCCATGTTGCTCTCACAGCTCCCATGTTGCTCTCACAGTCCCCATGTTGCTCTCACAGCTCCCATGTTGCTCTCACAGCTCCCATGTTGCTCTCACAGCTCCCATGTTGCTCTCACAGCCCCCATGTTGCTCTCACAGCCCCCATGTTGCTCTCACAGCTCCCATGTTGCTCTCACAGCCCCCATATTGCAAGTAGATAGCCTCAGGCACTCTACCAAGCCACTCCTTAAACGTCGGCATGTTTGACGGACCTACCCGGCTACAATTAACAGAAGCAAGGTGAAATTCGCATGACTTGACCTCAGGTCACTTGAGGTCATTCACGCTTAGAGGTGAGAGTCTCAGGCCGACAAACGGCGCCTCTCAAATCCGTGTCTGGCTTGACTCATGTACTATATTTATATATTAAATAAAACTAAACCAAACACCTTTACGGTGTTACAGCGGCTCCCAGCCAGAGTGCGCAGCGGCTCCCAGCCAGAGTGCGCAGCGGCTCCCAGCCAGAGTGCGCAGCGGCTCCCAGCCAGAGTGCGCAGCGGCTCCCAGCCAGAGTGCGCAGCGGCTCCCAGCCAGAGTGCGCAGCGGCTCCCAGCCAGAGTGCGCAGCGGCTCCCAGCCAGATTGCGCAGCGGCTCCCAGCCAGAGTGCGCAGCGGCTCCCAGCCAGAGTGCGCAGCGGCTCCCAGCCAGAGTGCGCAGCGGCTCCCAGCCAGAGTGCGCAGCGGCTCCCAGCCAGAGTGCGCAGCGCACCCCAGCCAGAGTGCACAGCGGCTCCCAGCCAGAGTGCGCAGCGGCTCCCAGCCAGAGTGCGCAGCGGCTCCCAGCCAGAGTGCGCAGCGGCTCCCAGCCAGAGTGCGCAGCGGCTCCCAGCCAGAGTGCGCAGCGCACCCCAGCCAGAGTGCACAGCGGCTCCCAGCCAGAGTGCGCAGCGGCTCCCAGCCAGAGTGCGCAGCGCACCCCAGCCAGAGTGCGCAGCGCATTCCAGCCAGAGTGCAAAATGTTTCCACACATTACTGCCATTGTTCATTTCTCCAGCCAAATATCTTCTAACGCATTTTGAGATCTGCTAGGAGACATTTTGAGATCTGCCAGGAGACATTTTGAGATCTGCTAGGAGACATTTTGAGATCTGCTAGGAGACATTTTGAGATCTGCTAGGAGATATTTTGAGATCTCCTAGGAGACATTTTGAGATCTGCTAGGAGACATTTTGAGATCTGCTAGGAGATATTTTGAGATCTGCTAGGAGACATTTTGAGATCTGCCAGGAGACATTTTGAGATCTGCTAGGAGACATTTTGAGATCTGCCAGGAGACATTTTGAGACCTCAAACACCTATTGTTCTCCTAGCGTTCTCCTAGCAAGCACCTAGCGTTTTTGCCGTTCTCCTAGCACTCTCGTCGTTCTCCTAGCGTTCTTGTCGTTCTCCTAGCGCTCTTGAAGATCTCCCGGCACTCTTGAAGATCTAACGGCGCTCTTGAAGATCTAACGGCGCTCTTGAAGTTCTCCCGCCGCTCTTGAAGTTCTCCTAGCGCTCTTGTCGTTCTCCTAGCGCTCTTGTCGTTCTCCTAGCGCTCTTGTCGTTCTCCTAGCGCTCTTGTCGTTCTCCTAGCGCTCTTGTCGTTCTCCTAGCGCTCTTGTCGTCCTCCTAGCGCTCTTGAAGTTCTCCCGGCGCTCTTGAAGTTCTCCCGGCGCTCTTGAAGTTCTCCCGGCGCTCTTGAAGTTCTCCCGGCGCTCTTGAAGTTCTCCTGGCGCTCTTGAAGTTCTCCTAGCGCTCTTGAAGATCTCCCGGCGCTCTTGAAGTTCTCCCGACGCTCTTGAAGTTCTCCCGACGCTCTTGAAGTTCTCCCGACGCTCTTGAAGTTCTCCCGACGCTCTTGAAGTTCTCCCGGCGCTCTTGAAGTTCTCCCGACGCTCTTGAAGTTCTCCCGGCGCTCTTGAAGTTCTCCCGGCGCTCTTGAAGTTCTCCCGGCGCTCTTGAAGTTCTCCCGGCGCTCTTGAAGTTCTCCCGGCGCTCTTGAAGTTCTCCCGGCGCTCTTGAAGTTCTCCCGGCGCTCTTGAAGTTCTCCCGGCGCTCTTGAAGTTCTCCCGGCGCTCTTGAAGTTCTCCCGGCGCTCTTGAAGTTCTCCAGGCGCTCTTGAAGTTCTCCCGGCGCTCTTGAAGTTCTCCCGGCGCTCTTGAAGTTCTCCCGGCGCTCTTGAAGTTCTCCCGGCGCTCTTGAAGTCGACTTGATTACAGTCCAGCAACGATCGAAAAAGCATCGCTTCCTTCCTTCAGTTGTAAAGGAAACATGATCACCACATACAAAATATTCGGCCATCTGCGAACTTAAAAGTCACAGTGTAATGATTGGACGTGTGTGAAACTTTAGGAGAAGACTTGGACTCTTGAATACACCAAGTTTGAAATTTATGGCGAGTTTTGGAGCGTTTTACTTTAAAGTGAAGCAGGTCTTTGCAATTGAATGACAGGAAGGAAACTTAGAATTGTTGCTAAATGACTTCAAATTGCATTAGGAGAGACGCCATGCCATACGACCCTGTTAATAGATTGTGGAAAGCTTGCTTTTGTGTGGATATATATATGTGTGGATATATATATGTGTGGATATATATATAATGTGTGTGTGTGTGGTTTCCTCTGAGGCTATGGGTTCCTTTCTTCCAGCCAGAGGTGGCACTCCCTTATATATATATATATATATATATATATATATATATATATATATATATATATATATATATATATATATATATATATATATATATATATATATGTCGTACCTAGTAGCCAGAACTCACTTCTCAGCCTACTATGCATGGCCCGATTTGCATAATAAGCCAAGTTTTCATGAATTAATTGTTTTTCGACTACCTAACCTACCTAACCTAACCTAACCTAACTTTTTCGGCTACCTAACCCAACCTTACCTATAAAGATAGGTTAGGTTAGGTTAGGTAGGGTTGGTTAGGTTCGGTCATATATCTACGTTAATTTTAACTCCAATAAAAAAAAGTTGACCTCATACATAATGAAATGGGTAGCTTTCTCATTTCATAAGAAAAAAATTAGAGAAAATATATTAATTCAGGAAAACTTGGCTTATTAGGCAAATCGGGCCTTGCATAGTAGGCTGAGAAGTGCGTTCTGGCTACTAGGTACGACATATATATATATATATATATATATATATATATATATATATATATATATATATATATATATATATATATATATATATATATATATATTCTGGATGTAGACTTGTTATAGTAAAAGGTGAAAAGAGAGAGAGAGAATTTATATATATCACGACTGAGTGGACAGCAATTGGGGGTCGTAGTCCTAATGGCCCGGGTTCGATTCCCGGCGGAGGCGATAACAAATAGACACAGTTTCTTTCACCCTGGTACACTTGTTCACCTAAGAGTAAATAGGTACCTGGGAGTTAGACAGCTGCTACGGGCTGCTTCCTGGGTGTTAGAGAGAAATATATGTAGTAGACATAGAGGAAAAATAGATTTGTTAGAAAGGCGGGGTCCAAGAGCTAATAGCTCGATTCTGCTGACACGAACACACACGATCGCACGTTATTCTTTTTTGTTCTAGGAACCAGCTGATATCCATAACAGAATCAGCTGATTACCCATCACGAAACCAGTTGATCTACGTCTTATAACCTTTTGATCTCACCATTTGGTCACCACTTGGTCCGGGAGACATCTCCCGTCACGCAGGGTGCAGTCGCGCCTCCACAGATCTCCAGTATCATCTTTTGAGACTGGTAATGGCTCAAAAGGGCCACCACTTACGGGCTATTCATGCCCGTGCCACCTCTTGGGTGGTTTAATCTTCATCAATCAATCTTTTGATCTTCTCCAGATTGTTTCGGTGTGGTGTCCTGCTGTCTGTCAGCTGAGCCTCGTCTGATCACTGACGGCAGATCAATACGACGTCAACAGATCATTATCTTGGCGTTGATCGATCCCCGCCAAACACACACCGAAACTACGACGTTGGTACAACGTTTCGAACAAGTTTTAACATCTAACCAGTTATAACAACCAATATAGCAAGTTGTAACAACGTTCTAATACGTCATAAACACGTTAAGCCAAGATGTAACAACTTTATTACAAGTTGTAACAAGCGGAAAATAGAGACAGTTTCGTTTTGTGTTTCCAGGGGATGGACTCTGCTATCGAAATATTATTTTCCACGTGATATCGGCCGGTTATCGGCGTGCTGACAGACCGTCTGAATACTCACTGATCAGTCATTCGCTAAGAGTTTTCCCTCATAGGCTTAATCACCTGTCAAATCCTTATCTACCGTGTTAAACATATCAACTTGAACGCTCAAAAATTTGACGGATTTGAAGAAAGACGTCAGAAAATCGACCTTGTATGTGATGAAATGGCATACCCCCCCCTATCCCACCCTATCCATTTCCCCCCTACCATTCCACCCTATCCATTTCCCCCCTACCATTCCACCCAATCCATATCCTCACCATCCTATCCCATGCATATCCTCACTATCCCATCCCATGTATGACTGTCGACAAATATGTACCTGGGAATTAGACAGCCCCAACGGGTTGCTTTCTGGAGATATATATATATATATATATGTGTGTGTGTGTGTGTGTGTGTGAGAGAGAAATATGTAGAAAATGTGTACTTATTCCCAGACCTATTTTTCTTATACGACAACCGACGATTAGAAAGGGCGGGGTCCAGGAGCTACAGTAGATCCTGGAGGCACAAATAGTAAGCACACATATAGCGCTAACGCACATGCCCGACATGAACCTACACACACACACACACACACACACACACACACACACACACACTGCTGCTGGCGACGTTCAGCTACAAAGACTGTGTGTGTGTGTGTGTGTGTGTGTGTGTGTGTGTGTGTGTGTGTGTGTGTGTGTGTGTGTGTGTGTGTGTGTGTGTATATATGTGTGTGTGTACGTGCGTGAATACACAGGCCATCAACCTACATAGCCTTCACACAGACAGTATTATCATATATAAACAAAGGCACAGAGACCTCTATACGCACGCAAACACACCCACACACACACACACACACACACACACACACACACACCCACACCCACACCCACACAAGACCTAGACAAGCTGAAGGAATGGTCGAACAAATGGTTGTTAGAGTTTAACCCAACCAAATGTAATGTAATGAAGATAGGTGTAGGGAGCAGGAGGCCAGATACAAGGTATCATCTGGGAGAGGAAATTCTTCAGGAGTCAGAGAAGGAAAAAGACTTGGGGGTTGATATCACGCCAGACCTGTCTCCTGCAGCACATATCAAGCGGATAACATCAGCGGCATATGCTAGGCTGGCCAAAATACGAACGGCATTCAGAAACTTGTGTAAAGAATCATTCAGAACTTTGTATACCACATATGTCAGGCCAATCCTGGAGTATGCAGCCCCAGCATGGAGTCCATATCTAGTCAAGGATTAGACTAAACTGGAAAAGGTTCAAAGGTTTGCCACCAGACTAGTACCCGAGCTGAGAGGTATGAGCTACGAGGAGAGACTACGGGAATTAAACCTCACTTCGCTGGAAGACAGAAGAGTTAGGGGGGACATGATCACCACATTCAAGATTCTGAAGGGGATTGATAGGGTAGATAAAGACAGTCTATTTAACACAAGGGGAACACGCACAAGGGGACACAGGTGGAAACTGAGTGCCCAAATGAGCCACAGAGATATTAGAAAGAACTTTTTTAGTGTCAGAGTGGTTGACAAATGGAATGCATTAGGGGGTGATGTGGTGGAGGCTCACTCCATACACAGTTTCAAGTGTAGATATGACAGAGCCCGATAGGCTCAGGAATCTGTACACCTGTTGATTGACGGTTGAGAGGCGGGACCAAAGAGCCAGAGCTCAACCCCCGCAAACACAACTAGGTGAGTACAACTAGGTGAGTACACACACACACACACACACAAACCAGATAACCAGATGTATAAAATATCAAAACTGTAATCGGTCTACATATATACGACTACGAGGCTCCGGAAGGGGTAACGAGCCTAGGGGAAAAGGGGAACGAGGCTCTGGGAAGGGAAGGAAGGGAGGGGGAGGGATGGAGAAAAGGGGGGTGGGAGGGGGGGTCGGAAATGACACAATTGGTGAGTACAATCGATAACAGCTATCCATTAAATCATTTACAGCAGCGGTTCCGTCAATGGCCGGCTGGGGGGGATGAGTACCTGCATGAATCACCTGGTGACAATCTCCTTATTAAAGGTAAATCTCCAGGCTTCCTGTCACCACAAGGGGGGGGGGCTGGTAGCCACCACAGGGGGGCTGCCAGTTACCACAGGGGGGGGGGGCTGGTAGCCACCACAGGGGGGGCTGGTAGCCACCACAGGGGGGCTGCCAGTTACCACAGGGGGGGGGGGGCTGGTAGCCACCACAGGGGGGGCTGGTAGCCACCACAGGGGGGGGGGGGACTGGTAGCCACCACAGGGGGGCTGCCACAGGTTATACAACGGAAAAAAAAATCATACATGTTTTAACCCCAACTTGTTACAAATATGAATTAAGTTGTACCTAATCATTAACTGCTTCTGACTAATGATGATTTTTTTTCATCATAAAAACTAGGGAAAGTTGAGTTGATGAGAACATCGTAATCCCTCAAGGAAACAAATTTATATTTTCTTATTTTAAAAATAAGAAAATGGAGAAACTTTATTGAGACGTCTCAATTATACATAAGTTATAAGGAGAAGGTACAGAGGTATTCCACCAGCCTAGTACCCGAGCTGAGGGGTATGAGCTACGAGGAGAGACTACGGGAACTAAAGCTCATATGTCGCTGGATGACAGAAGAGTTACAGGAGACATGATCACCATATACAAAATTCTCAGAGGAATTGATAAGGGTCAACAAGGACAAATTTTTTAACGCAGGGGGACACATGCACTAGGGGACACAGGTGGAAACTGGGTATCCAGATTAGCCATAGAGATAGAACTTTTTCAGTGTCAGAGTAGTTAATACATGAAGTGCATTAGGAAAGGATGTGGTGGAGGCTGACTTCATACACAGTTTCAAATGTAGTTTCAAATACAGCCAAACAGGCTTGGGAATCTGTACATCAGTTGATTGGCAGTTGAGAGGCGGGACCAAAGATCCAGAGCTCAACCCCCGCAAGCACAACTAGGTGAGTAAACACACACACACACACACACACACACACACACAC